AAACCAACCTCAACTCCCAGCTGCCTTCATTATTCTCTTGTCCTCAATATAATAAAAAACTTTCCAGCATTTATACCCAAACAATTTGGGGAAACTTGTTCTGTATAAATTTGAAAGTGCTTAACTGCCTAAAACTAGTCAGCCCAATGCACTATTTTGTAATTGGTATAAACTGTTAAGACCCAATCCATTAAGGATCTTGTTAACACCTATATAAGGGTAGAAACTTGCATGTAAAATACGTACTTTTTACTAAGTTTGAAGCATATAATAATAAATAAAGCTACTGATTTCACTAACAGTATTTTGGTCACTTGTGATGGTTTTGCATGGCCTGGTCTCTATCCCACTCCCCGGGAGCCCCCTCTTTTCTTACTCTCATTGGTCCTGACCCACTGACCTGCAGACACTCCTTTCTGCCCCAGGACCTCTGGACAGGCCCATCTCCCAGCCTATCACATTGGCCTCAGGAAACACATTCTTTATGATACTAGTTTATCATCTCCTGAGAATTACCTGAGTAAGAATCACTAACTTCTCCCATAGCACAGGGCTCACCCAGCACAGCAATCTACTTAACACTTAAAAAACATATTACGGAGTCTTTCCTAAAAAACAAGCATTTATTTAAAACACTGCCTCAAGGACAGGTCCACTGGCTCATGCCTATAATCCTAGCACTCTGGAGGCCGAGATGGGAGGGTCACTTAAGCTCAGGAGCCCATGACATTGTGAGCAAGAGTGAGACCACCTCTCTACTACAATAGAAAAATTAGCAGGGTACTACTCTAGGGGGGTGCCTGTCCTTTGCTTGAGCCCAGGAGTTTGAAGTTGCTGTGAGCTATGATGACGCCATGGCACTCTACCCAGAGTGAAAAAGTAAGAGCCTGTCTCTCCCCGGAAAAATAAAAAACAAAATGCTGCTTCAGGCCAGACACACTGTGGGAAACTTGCCTTTGTAGTAGCTGCTGTTCAATGTGCAATTTATGGAGAGCAGGCCTGTCCACGCACACAGGCGCAGTCAGAGCTGTGCTGCAATGGTTCTGTGACCTTCACCCCCCAAAACTAGGGCCACCAAGAACTGCGCCCATCCCAGAGGCACTCAGAGCCACCCTGAAGCTTTGTTCACAGGGTGCCTACCAGCTACAGACTTCCCTCTGCTGGCCCTAAGGGCTGGCAATATCCTAAATTGTAGGGAGACAGACTTGGGAGGAGAGGTTGTTCCCCCAGAAATCCAACTCTCAGAGCAATAAGCAATCTTTTAAAGCAGTGAGAATGCATTGCTATGTGCTAAAGCTGTATGGTGTCTGGGCAAGGATAATGGGTTTATGAGGTCGGCCCTAGGCACCACAATGAACAAGACAGTTTACAACAGAAAACTGTGTTCCGCATTTCAAACACCCGACTTACACACATTTTAATGTGATCCTTCTGTCCATCAAGGACAGCTTCTAAGTGACCAAGATGTGAGAACAAACGGTAAGGCTTGTAGGAGTCTACTTTTCATACTTGTAGCGGGTAAGTTATTGACATTTCAGCAAACAGATGTCCAGGAGTAGAATAAAAACACAGCTTAACACATCATGCTTTGGTGATTATTTGCTAAAACCATATTAAAAAAAAAAAGATCGGCTCACATTCCCATTCCTCAAATATGTGCTAGAGCATCGATCTCCAACCTTTTTGGCACCAAAGACCAGTTTTATGGAAGACAATTTTCCAGATGGGGTGGGGGAGATTAGATTCTCAAAAGGAGCACACAACCTAGATCTCTCATACCCACAGTTTATGTAGTAGAGTTCACATCCCTATGACATAATCTAATGCCACTGCTGATATGGCAGCAGACAAAGCTCAGGTGGTGACGTGAGCAATGAGGAGGGCCAGGGCCGCACAGATGCAGCTTCCCTGCTGATCATTCACCTCCTGCTGTGTGGGCAGGTACCTAACAGGCCACAGACCCCTACTAGTCGGAGCCCCACAGTGGAGAGTTAAGGTACTTTTGGCCAGTTTTATCTCCTAAAAGTACACAATTATTGACCCCTTCCAAGAAAGGAAAGTCTTTAAAAGTATTTAAGGAGAAGTATCAATTTAAAACAGGAAAAAACAGAAAGAACTTCACATTGCAGGAGTTGTGTTTAAAGTAGAGAATGCACGTGACTCCAGAGAAGTCACAGGCAGAGGAAAGAGGTGCATCAAAACTTGCCCCCCGGGTGGCGCCTGTGGCTCAAAGGGGTAGGGCACCAGCCCCATATGCCGCAGATGGCAGGTTCAAACCCAGCCCAGGCCAAAAAC